GTTCTGATTGAGAAACCTTCCTTGCAATCCTTGCTCTCTAATCCTGAGTTGCAGAGGCCGAGTTTGCCAGATCCTCACCTAGATCTGGTGCTCATACCTCTCCACATTCACAGGCGGTAAACCTCTGAACATCAGTGCCAGGAGCAGGGGTCATTTCGAGGGGGAACGAGCAGGAGCGGCGTTCCGGGAGTAACCAGCCCAGGAGTAGGGAACCCAGGCATGCTTGCATGGCTGCCCTCTGCTTCTCCAGCCAGCCCACCATGGCGGGTTGGCTGGGGAGGGGAAGGGCGGGCAGGCAGGCAGACGTGCCCCCCCCTTTCCCCTGAGCCTCTCTGCTTTTGCGGAGAAACTCGGGGAAGTGGGGGGGATTTAAATGCCTTTCTTTCCGTTCCCCATCTGGGGAAGGGGAAGAAAGGCATTTTAAACATGCCTGGGTTCCCTGCCCGATCTGCTCCAGGTCTTCTCCAAGAAGATCAGGTAGGGAACCCAGGCATGCTTGCATGCCTGCCCTTTGTCAGGGGGTGTGGCATATGCAAATATGTTATGCAAATGAGTTATGCAAATGAGCTCCTGCACCTCTTTTTCTACGAAATGACCCCTGGCCAGGAGGCAACATCAAGGGAAGGCAGGGTTGCCAGACTGGGAAATTCCTGGAGATTTGGGGGTGGAAGGGAGGGACCCCAGCAGGGTATAATACCACGCCCTTCAAGGCAGCCATTTCCTCCTGGGGAAGTGATCTTTGTCATCTGGAGATCAGTTTTTAATTCTGGGCGATCTGCAAGTGCGACCTTGAAGCTGGTAACCCTGGGCGAAGACCTTGTTGGCTCTCCAGACTAACTGCTTGGCCCCTGAGGGGTCGGGTTGCCAGCTCTGGGTTGGGAAATACCTGGAGATTTTGTGGGTGGAGCCTGGACAGGGCGGGGTTTGGGGAGGGGAGGGACCTCTGCAGGTAATGCCATAGAGTCCTCCCTCCAAAGCAACCATTTTTTTGAGCCCCCAGAGGGGATTTTTTTATAAGACTACAAAACGATTACAGAAAAAAGGGGAGGGGAACTACATTTACAGGATAAAGCAAAGAAACCCACTACTAACTAAAAACTCAAGAGAGGAGATCTTCATTAGCTTAGTTACAACAAACAACAGCCATTTTTTCCCAGGGGGAACTAATCTTTGTCATATGGAGATCAATTGTAATAGTAGGAGATCTCCAGGAGCCACCTGGAGTGGGCAATACTACCTGAGGGAGACAAACGGCTGCACTAGATAGGTCATCTGTCTGATCCTGCCAGACTTTTCTTATGTCCCTAGTGACACGGAGCGCTTTTTGTAGACCCACAGTCGCACCCCTTTGATGTTTAGCAGTCAGGACCGACACCCTCCCCATGTCTGAGATGAGGAATCGAGGATAAGGTGATGGGGGAAGGGGAAAGGATGGGCACGGAGGTGAAAAGGAGAGCAAGGGTGAGCTGCCGTGTCCTCCCCCAGGGCTCTTGGGGGCACTTCAGACCCAGTTCTAAGCAAGTTTACTTTAATGTCGACCTGGGTTCAAATGAACTAATAGCCACATTACATTCTAAATTGTCCCGTATACTCCGAACCAAGAGGAAGATTTCTCGCCAACATATTGTCTGGTCTCCGTCTTCTTTCTGGCTCTGATAAATTAATTTTTATGTTGTCCGATAAAGATTATTTTGTTTCCAACAGGATGGCCCTTTTTGCTCTAGCTGCCAGAAAAACAAGAGCAAACGTAGCAACCAGGAAAATCACAACTGATACAGCTGCTGCTAGTTAGTTTGTCAGAAATGAGTGCCATATTTTATGGATGTATTTTATTGTTATATTTTAAGTATATATATCATTATAAATGCTTTTAGATAATATGCGTTATGCTGCTGTATTTTAGTGTAGTAAAAAGGTAAAGGTAAAGGTTCCCTTGCTCGAAAGCCAGTCAAATCCGACTCTAGGGTTGCGGTGCTCATCTCCGTTTCAAAGCCGAAGAGCCAGCGCTGTCTGAAGACGTTTCCGTGGTCATGTGGCTGGCATGACTAAACACCAAGGCGCATGGAACGCTGTTACCTTCCCACCGAAGTGGTCCCTATTTATCTACTTGCAATTTCTTGCTTTCGAATTGCTAGGTTGGCAGGAGCTGGAACTAGAGATGGGAGCTCACTCCGTCATGCGGCACCCGGGTCTCGAACTGCTGAACTACTGACCTCCCACAGCCTGCAGTTCAGCGTCTTAACCACTTGAGGTGTAGTGCATTTATCTCTAACGGTTCTCGATTGTAAAGGCCTATGGCCATATACAATACATTTCCTACCTACCTAATAGCCAAGTAAATGCACTTTGGTATGAACACCCTGTCCAGAGAAGGTGGCTTTAGTGAAGGCAAGCTTTTTTTTTTTGGGGGGGGTATTTTTTAATATCTCTCTGTGTGTGTTCGTGTGAGTGTGTGTGAACCTGGAAGTCATGGCGCCCCCTACTGGGGGCTTGGAGGGTATTCAGAGAGGTGGCTGGATAAAGTGTGCCCCCGCCTCTGGTATTCCAAGGACGTCTCCCATACTAGCACTTGCCAGAGTTCACCCTGCTTGGCTTCCGATATCTGATGAGATTGAGCTTGCCTGGGCTATCCGGGTCAAGGCAAGTGAAGGCAAGCGTTGATTAGTCTACACCTCCTTCAGAGGGGTGCCACCCTTCAGAACCCAACTGCTCTTGCCGGAATGTTATTTATCAGTTGGATGCTGCACCCAAAGGATGAAAACAGGGTCCGGCTTCACCCTCAGGCGGTGCAATCCCACAGGACTCCTTTGGAAAGGAAGGGAACAATGCCGGCCCTTATCTGCATAGCCCCGCCCCTTATTTACATAGCCCTGCCCTCGGTTCTGTTTCTAGTTGTGATGGAATGCGGAGAGCTGGCGGGGACAGACGTCGCCTGGAATGGGGGTGGCTATGGCTCAGTGGTAAAGCACCAACTTTGCATGCTGAAGGTCCCAGGTTCAGTCCCCGGCATCTCCATTTAAAAGTTGTCAGGTGGGGGTACTGGAAAGGACCTTGCTTTTCCTGAGTCCCTGGAGAGCCACTGCCAGTTGGAGATGAGGCTGGCCTTGGGAGCCAAGTGTAGTATTAAAGACAGCTGGTGTGGTGTAGTGGGTTGGAGCACTGGACTAGGGTCTAGGAGTAAAAGGTAAAGATTTCCCTTGCTCGAAAGCTAGTCAAATCTGACTCTAGGGGGCGGTGCTCATCTCCGTCTCCAAGCCGAAGAGCCGGCGCCGTCCGAAGACGTTTCCGTGGTCATGTGGCCGGCATGACTAAATGCCGAGGCGCACGGAATGCTGTTACCTTCCCACCGAAGCAGTACCTATTTATGTACTTGCAATTTCTTGCTTTCGATCTGCTAGGTTGGCAAGAGCTGGGGCCAGAGATGGGAGCTTGCTCCGTCACGCGACGCTAGGATCTCGAACTGCCGAGCTATAGACCTTACGGTCTGCAGCTCAGTGTCTTCACCTCTGAGCCCTGGGTTCAGATCCCCACTCTGCCATGGAAACTTGCTGGGTGACCTTGGGCCGGTCATACCTTCACTGCTTAACCTACCTTACAGGCTTGTTGTGAGGATAATAGGAAGGAAAGGAGACCGATGTTAACTGCTGTGGAAACCCATTGCGGGGAAAGGTGGTGTGTACATGAAGTAAATGAATGGAGTATTGGTCTAAGAAGCCCACTTGTCAGTTCATGGTGGGCAGCCTCCTGTCCCTGTATGCTATTGATGGAGCAGTGGGAGGAGAAATGGAGGGGTAGGTCACAGCATCTGCGACTCTCTAGGAACTTCCCCAAATCTCTGTGACCTTGGCCACAGCATGAGCGATGCTCCCCCTCCCAAGGCTGTGCCCCCAAATACTCCTGAGAGTTGTCAGCAATGGTGACAGCCAGGGCTATTTTTGGGCAGGAACGCACAGGAACGGAGTTCCGGCTGGCTCCCAAGTTGGCCACACCCAGCAGGAACTCATTAGCATAATAGGCCACACCCAACAGCAGAAACTCATTAGGATTGGCTACATTAGGGGTGTGTGGCCTAACATGCAAAGGAGTTCCTGCTACAAAAAAAAGGCCCTGGACCGTTTTGACAACAAGAAGATAAACAGAATAACAAGCAAAAGGTGGGTGTGGCTGGATAACCACACTTCTGGTAACATGGGGGTGCGGCCTAATGTGCTAATGAGCTGTGCTGTCAGGGGTGTGGCCTATTATGCTAATGAGTTTCTGCTGTTGGGTGTGGCCTATTATGCTAATGAGTTCCTGCTGGGCTTTTTCTACAAAAAGAGCCCTGGCAGCCATTCTCTCTTTTAGTCTGCCATGACATATTGCATTGCTGTAAGGTTAACATGGAGGAAAAGAGAACCTTGAATGACTCAGTGCCCTTGCGTGCAGAAGGTCAGCCCTTGGCATCTCCAGTTACTAAGATCTTAGGGAACAGGTGGGTGGGAGATCCCTCCTCTACTGGACACTCTGCACATCGTCTGGCTCTGAGTCAGGCAGCTTCATTTGCACCTTCAGTGGAGGTTCCAAGATGGAGAGGCCATTCCCACACTCAGAGCAGTATCCTCTACGGATCCCGGTCTCCGTCCCTGATCCCATGAGAGTGATCCTTTCGAGACAAGTCAGAAAGAATTTTGGGCCCAATAGCGGAAAGGAGGATATGCCAACCTGGATCAGTTGCTGTGTTGCTGGCTTGACCACAAAAGCCGAAACTGTGGGGCACAGAATACATTTCCTTTTAATTCACCACAGGGAAATTTTACAAAGTAATTTTGTGATGTGGAACGAATACAGAAACGGCTTTATAAAAAGGAATCAATGAGGATCTGAAACAGGCCCGTAGCTAGGTTTTTTTTAATTCGGGGGGGCCTTTAAATAAGTCAGGGAGCACCCTGCAACCCCCCCCAAGGGAGTGCCACAAATAAAATAAAAAATTGGAAGTCAGGGGGTCTGGGCTGGATGGGGAGTCAGAGGGCCGTGGCAGTGAGTCAGGGGGCCAGGCCCCGAGATGCCCCCTGTAGCTACAGGCCTGATCTGAAATGCCCTTTCCCCCCCTGGAGATGAATTGCAGATCTCCGGAGGCCGGTCATTTCTTGGTTGCATCCTCAGGCTTCCTGGCTTCCGACGGAGTGATCTGGGCATGGGCCTCAAAGGTGACGGGGATCTTGATCTCAGCAGACTGGATGGCTGGTTTGGGCAACGGGGCTTCCACGGTCAGCGTGCCATCTGGGGAAAGCGTTGAGCGGACTGCAGCAGGCTCGATGCCGGGGGGAAGTCTGAAATGGTGGGGAGAAATGCTGAGCGAGAACAGGATAAGAAGGCCCCTGAAGTGGCGCCCCCTCCCTGGAACGTTGTGTTGGAAGTGTCCGTCTTTGCATTCCTTAGCTTTCCCACGTTCCCTGCCCTTTGTAGTATGTAGTGAAAATGTAATAAAAATTTAAAAAGTGTCCGTCTTTGCAAGTAAAAATAATTACAATGCTTAACCCATCAATCAAGTAATTGGATAGCAACATTCCAACTACGTGAAATGGTGGCTGCGATGAATTAGGATTTTTAAAAAAGATTACAACATTATTTCTAATACAAATACTTAAGGGAAATTAGGGATGTTTCCGAAATCCTCCTCATCCAGATTTGTCCCTGGATTGTGGAGTTCTGTTCGACTACATTAGGAATCCTCTTTTGTTTAATTTATTAAAAAACTGGATGTTGTAGAGGTCTGCACATGCGCAATTTACTACAAGCTTCAGCTTTGTCAGTTCATTTCCATATCTTCCCCTTCCCTTTGTATTACAGGCATACTGATAATACACTTCAAAGAAAGCAATCTTGATGTAAGCCATGTCATGAGGTTTCTTTTGTTTTATGGTGCAGCGTTTCATCAACAACTGCAAAAAAAATCTTGATAGAAAAGTAATCCAAGTGGTATTGGGGTTTCTGATTTATTGCCGTGTGCACCTCTGTGCAGGAATATAAATGTGAATTGGTAAAACCACACCAGACAGAATCTGCCTGCAGTCGTACATGCTACCACATTAGAGTTGCTTTTCTTGCTATGCTTTATCTGTGCACCCGTGAGCATCGGTAACAAAGGGTGGTGTGGTATGCATGTGCAAATGTTCAGAAGGAGCTAAAACCTCTGGCGAACAGTGCGTGATCCAGTTCCAGAATTAACAGTAGAAATTCTCCTGGTTAATCCAGTATTATAGGGCCATCCTGTATAGTCTAGGCTCATTGATTTCAAAGAATTTAAGCTGGAGTGACCCTACATCAGATTGCACTGTTAAAAAGGGAAGTAGAATGATATGCTAATTGTCCCAGGCTGTATACCAGATACAGATTGTGTAGGGGTTTGGGGGTTTTTTTTTGCTATCAAGGGACAGCCGATTTATGGCAGCTCCATCGGGTTTTCAAGGCAAGAGACTTTCAGAGGTAGTCTGCCATTGCCTGCCTCCACCTCATGACCCTGGTATTCCTTGGAAATCTCCCATCCAAATAGTATCCAGGACTGACCCTGTTTAGCTTCTGAGATCTGATGAGATTGGGCCAGCCTGGGCCACCCAGATCAGGGCAATTATATACTAAAAGGTAAAGGTTTCCCTTGCTCAAATGCCAGTTGAATCCAACTCTAGGGGGCGGTGCTCATCTCTGTTTCCAAGCTGAAGAGCCGGCGCTGTCTCAAGACTTCTCCGTGGTCATGTGGCTGGCAAGATGAGCAGCTAGAAAGCCACAGTGGCTTAGAGGTGCCAAGGTGCACGGAACACTGTTACCTTCCCTCCGAAGTGGTACCTATTTATCTACTTGCAGTTTTTTGCTTTTGAACTCCTAGGTTGGCAGGAGCTGGGGCCAGAGACGGGAGCTGGCTCCATCACACAGCACTAGGGTCTCGAACTGCCGAGCTATAGACGGTTCAGTCTGCAGCTCAGTGTCTTAACCTCTAAGCCACCACAGCTTACTAGCTGTTTACCATGGGTTACTAGTGGAGCTGCGGTGGCTCAAGTGGTTAAGACGCTGAACTGCAGGCTGTGGAAGGTCAGTAGTTCAGCAGTTTGAGACCCGGGTGCCGCATGATGGAGTGAGCTCCCGTCTCTAGTTCCAGCTCCTGCCAACCTAGCAGTTCGAAAGCAAGAAATTGCAAGTAGATAAATAGGTACCACTTTGGTGGGAAGGTAACAGCGTTCCGTGCGCCTTGGCGTTTAGTCATGCCGGCCACATGACCACGGAAACGTCTTCAGACAGCGCTGGCTCTTCGGCTTTGAAACAGAGATGAGCGCCGCAACCCTAGAGTCGGATTCGACTGGCTTTCGAGCAAGGGAACCTTTACCTTACTAGCTGTATACTAAAATGTAGAGGAATGGAAAGGGGGAAATCTGATTATCCTATCAGGAAAACATGTTCCCGGAACTGGAGTGAACAGAAACAGAGCTCGTTGGCGGAATGCATGACCCCTCTCCTTCCACAAGAAGCCCAACCTGCATCCTTCTAGTTCAGGCAGAATGACAAAAGCCCCTTAATTTCATGACCCCCCCTCCTTTCTCCATCCACCCTACTTACGTGTATTTTCTGGTGAAACATCTGGAAATGAACCCATGCTCATCTTGTCTTTCTTCATGCTTACCTAGAGGAGAAAATGATGCAGATGCTGTGAATAGAGCAACCAATGCCATCCCATTAGGAGTGATAAGTATTCCTGAGCCCTAGACTGACAGGTCATTAGCTTTATCCCGTCTAGGAGTGAAAAGATTCCTGTTATTTCATTCTTCCAGCATTTCGCCCTGTCCTGAGTGCTTTTGCATTTTGACCTGGCCATCCAGATCAGTGAGCATACTGATAAAAGGCCATAAAAATGGGTACCTGCATTGAGATTGTTTTCGTGTGGGGCATTTGAATGATGTGCATCATGCATGTATGCTCATGCAAACTGGAAAACAGCAAACACATACGTACAAAGGAACCCTGATAATACTGTATTAAGGTAGTCACATCAACACTGTGGTTTCAGAACATTATATCAACGCAGATGTGTGCTTCAGTAATGTAGAGGTGAGAAAGAGTCATGAATGAATGGAAGGAACTGAAAGGGCAATCTGCACATGCACAGTGCGCCGTACCAAACGGGGAAAAAACAGACACAAAACTGAGCAAGGATTAAAGAGCTTGAGGCAAGCAACTGTGGCATCTGTCATTTGCTTTCCGGCAATGTCAAACAGATCAGGTACTGCTGCTGCTACAGATGTAGAATCTTCCCCCCAGCTTTTGTTTCTGTGTTTTTAACACAGGATGTGCAGGTATGGCCCTGACCTGGATAGCCCAAACTAGCCCTATTTTGTCAGATCTCGGAAGCGAAGCAAGGTTGGTGCAGGCCAGTATTTGGATGGGAGACCACTTGTGAACACCTCCTGCCTTGAAAACCCTTCAGGGTCCCCATAAGTCAGCTATGACTTGACAGCAAAATACTACTACTACTTGGGGCTCTTTTTGTAGAAAATGCCCAGCAGGAACTCATTAGCATAATAGGCCACACCCAACAGCAGAAACTCATTAGCCTATTAGGCTACACCCCTGACAGCACAGCTCATTAGCACATTAGGCCGCACCCCCATGTTACCAGAAGTGTGGTTATCCAGCCACACCCACCTTTTGCTTCTTATTCTGTTTAACTTGTTTGTTGTCAAAACCCAGGGCTTTTTGTGTAGCAGGAACTCCTTTGCATGTTAGGCCACACCCCCTAATGTAGCCAATCCTAACGAGTTCCTGCTGGGTGTGGCCAACTCGGGAGCCAGCCGGAACTCTGTTCCTGTGCGTTCCTGCCCAAAAATAGCCCTGCTACTACTACTACTACTAATAATAACGGCAGTGTTGCAAGAAACAGCAGCAGCAGCAGCAGCAGAAGACAGTGTTGCTTGGAACAGCAAGGATCCTGTGAAGATACATCTGCAATTCCCAAGAACTTGGCTAGATCTCAAATGGCAGAATACTGTCTTTGATGTTGTTGCTAAGTCGTACAGTCGAGTCCGACTCTTCGCTACCCCATGGACCACATCACTGCAGGCCCTCCTGTCTTCTGTCGTGCTCCGGAGTTTGCTTAATTTCATGTTCGTTGCATCGATAAGACTGTCTAACCATCTCATCCTTTGCCATCCCCTTCTTCTGTTACCGTCAATCTTTCCCAGCATCACAGTCAGATATTGGACTGGTAGAATACTGTCTGCCAGTCTAATATCTGATTGTGACAATTCTAAATGGCCAGGGACCAATGTACCTGCGGGACCACCTCTCCTGGTATGTCCCCCGGAGAGCACTATGCTCAAACCACCAATGTCTACTGGAAGTCCCTGGCCCAAAGAGCATCTGGCTGTTTTTTGGCCCTGGCTCCGACTTGGCGGGGCTCTCTGCCTACTGATATCAGGGCCCTGCGAGATCTGTTACAATTCTGCTGGGCCTGCAAGGCAAAGATGTTCCGCCAAGTATATGGCTGAGGACAGCGTCTTAATAATTAACAGCTCTAATAACCAGGGGTCATTTCCTGCGGGAGCGCACAGGAGCGGAGCTCCGGCAGTAAGGAGCCCAGGGGGCGGGCACATGCAACAAGCCCTGCCCTCTGCTCCCAGCAGCCCTCAGTTGGGCCACGAGGAACAAGAAGCAGCCAGATAAGCTGCAGAGCCCCCCCCCGGCCCGCCTTCAGGTACAAGCTCTCCCTCCTCTGTGACGGCAGATCTGCACTTCATAGTTAGCAATCCAAAACAGTCCAGTGGCACCTTTAAGACCAAGTGGAGCCTGAGTGGTGGGTGTTGCCTTCTGACACACTTCCGGTGATGTCAGGGGGCGTGGCATATGCTAATGAGTTATGCTAACGAGCTCCTGCACCTCTTTTTCTACGAAATGACCCCTGCTAATAACGATCTGCTCCACTACCCGCTTCCATCCCCCTCCCCCATTGCTAATACGAATTGGGGAACTAGAACTAGATTATGGCACCATGTAGGGTTTTTTTTAAAAAAAGAAATTTATAGATTTGTGTTTTACACTGTTTAATTGGATTGTATATGTCTATGTTGTGAAACTGCCCTGAGCCTGCGTGTGGGAAGGACAATATAGAAGTATCAATAAATAAATCATCATCATCTGCAGATATGAGCTCCATGTGGTGACATTAGTGTATGGCGTGTGTCCTCGGTCTGAGAAGCTTTGCTTCCCGGTCTCTGCAGCCCAAACGGCTACTGGAAAGCACGGGAACCTAGGATCTGTTTTCCTCCCTCTCGGTCAGTTGGCAACTTCCACTGGAGCTGTGAGCCGCCCTCCCCTCCGTTCCGCCGAGCGTGGTTGCCATGGTTATGCGGCCACACATTGATGGACTTTATACCTTCATTAATATTTCAGACAGGGATGGGTTGGAGGACGGGGGGGGGGGTCTTGCAGGGAAACGAAATGCACGAGGAAAAAGGCTGGGATTTCCCCCTCCCTTCCTGGGGCAGTCCAGGGTGGAACCAGGCTGGGGTGAGGGGGGGGGGAAGAGCAGCAGAATTAAAATTCCCCCGGGGAGTGAAAAGTGAGCAAGAGGAAACCCATCCATAATTCATAACGGAAAATTTAGTGTGTGTGTGTGTGTGGGGGGAAGCAATGAGGTTGACAACTGCTACTTAGCAGGAAGGGGGCTCTCCTGACACCCAGCTTGAAAGGGCTGTGATTGGAGTCCCCCCCCCCACATCTCCCCTCCCCATAATTTGCTCAGACGGACTTGGCACCTGATCAATCTCATTGATTTTAATCAGAGCTCTAATGTGCCAGCTGCGATCCAGATGGTTCCAGGGGCTGGGGGGCTGGGAGGAAGCTCCCTGATGTTTTTTTTTGTTTTGTTTCTTTGTTGGCTGGATTGGAGGACCACCCCTAATGGTGTTCTCCGGAAGTCGTCTGCCTGGAGCTGCAAGAAGGAGAGAGAGTGGCCATTCTCGATGAGAACGGTCAGCGAAGGCAGCGCCTCTTCGCCCTCACTTGCTCTTGGTCAGCGAAGGTATTGCAGATTCCTCTGGGCCATCTACAAGGCATCAGCACGGGCCACCTTCCGCCTGGGGAACATCAACTTGATCAGCAGTAGCCCCCCCCCCCAGGTGACCCCTGATGCTGGGTTTGTCATTGTCCCATTAGACGAGCCTTTATTGACTGCTCAGACTGGCAATGGCTCTGGTCTGAAGATCTGGGATCCTGCTACACCCAAGGCTTGCTCCACTGCTGGGTCTTGGCCTCACAACACTTGTGTTACCAAGTCTGGGTTGGGAAATTCCTAGAGATTTGGGGGGTGGAGCTGGGGAAGGTGGGGTTGGGGGAGGGGAGGGACCTGGGTGGTTTATCATAAATGTTCCCTCTGAGCTGTGGAGTCTCGTGAGCAAAAATTCTACTTTGTGAGCAACTGGCATCAAAGTTGTGAGCGAGCAATTTGGCTGCTGCATAAATTAGTTTGCACTGGAGCCCTCCTTCCTGAGCTGAGACAAAAATGTGTGAGCCGGAGGCTAAAAAAACCGTGAGCTAGCTCACACTAACTCAGCTTAGAGGGAACACTGGTTATCACCCCAAAGAGTCCACCCACCAAAGCAGCCATTTCCTCCAGGAGGACTGATCTCTGTAGCCTTGAGAGCTGTTATAACTCTGGGGGATCTGCAGGTCTTATCTGGAGGTTGGCAACCTGATACTGCACTGACCCTCTCCAACTACTTCAGCAGAAGATTCCAACCCCCCCTGACTTGGCACCTGAGGCCCAGATAAGACACGTCTGTTATTGCGCCTTGCCATACATTGTAGAGCATAATTATCAGTGGGGGGGGGCTGTTTGCAGTGGAATCATGTGCAACAGGAAGGAAAAGGGAAGGAAGAGAGAAGAAAAGAAGAAGAGATTGGATTTATACCCCGCCCTTCACTACCCAAAGGAGTCTCAGAGCGGCTTACAATCTCCTTTTCCTTCCCCTCCCCACAACAGACACCCTGGGAGGGAGGTGGGGGCTGAGAGAGCTCTGACAGAAACTGCTCTTTTTCAAGGACAGCTGTGCCACAACTATGGCTTGCCCAAGGTCACCCAGCAGGTGTGAGTGGAGGAGTGGGGAATCAAACCCGGTTCTCCCAGATTACAGTCCGCGCACTTAACCACTACACCAAACTGGCAGAGAAGAAGAGAAGATTGGATTTATACCCTACCCTTCACTTGGCGTTTCAGAGGGGCTTACAATCTCCTTCCCTTCCTCTCCCTGCAACAGATACCTTGTGAGGTCGGTGAGGCTGAGAGAGCTCTGAGAGAACTGCTGTTGAGAGAACAGCTCTGACTGGCCCAAGGTCACCCAGCTGGCCACATGTGGAGGAGTGGGAAATCAAACCTGGTCCTCCAGATTAGAGTCCGCCACTCTTAACGACTACACCAAACTGGAGGCGTTAAGCTTCCCTTGCTACCATTTTCCTGACCTGAAACAGCCATGGGGGCATCTACTATGTGCCCCACTGGGGCAAATGACAGCTTCCTGTAGCCAACTGGCAGAGGAGGAAGACTTAACCCCCTCTCCTCATGCAGGCAAATCCCGTGCCTGAAAATTATGTTTAAAAAATTACGTTAAAAAGCAAAAATGCGAGGAGCTGCAGAAACTGGCACGTCTGGGCGACTGCTGTGCAGAACTTAACAGTCCTCTCAAGGGATCTCCTAACGTGATTCTGGTGATCTTTCTAGCAGCGGCTGACAGTCGCGGCAGCTTCAAGCAACGGGATACATGATTAATTGGTTTAATCAGTAGGCCCGGTCCTCACTTCTGAATATCGACGGGGGCCCTGCACTGCTGGCAGCTGAGAGGAAGCAGAACCCCTGGGAATGAACAGGGCTGTCGAGGGAAGAAGGGGAGGCGGAAAGAATGTGGCGGCTCATCCCTCTCGCCTTCTCCTTCCCCCGCAGCTGGGAGGGCGGGAGCCTCACCCTCTCCTTTTCTCACGCAGGAGTTTGTCCTGCACTGCTTGCCTGCAAGAGAGTTGTGGCCCACTTTCGGGTCCTGACCCGACCCACCATCTGAGAACCCACCGAATTAAATGTTTACAGTTTGGTGTAGTGGTTAAGTGCGCGGACTCTAATCTGGGAGAACCGTGTTTGATTCCCCACTCCTCCACTTGCACCTGGCTGGATGACCTTGGGCAAGCCGTAGTTCTGATAAGAGCTGTTTTTGAAAAAGAGCAGATTCTGTCAAGAGCTCTCTCAGCCCCACCTACCTCACAGGGTGTCTGTGGTGGGGAGGGGAAGGGAAAGGAGTTTGCAAGCCGCTCTGAGACTCCCTTGGGTAGTGAAGGGCGGGGTATAAATCCAATCTCTTCTTCTCTTCTTCTTCTACTCTATTATACGACGGGGACTGGACATAAACCGACAAGGGCAAATAGTAATTTGCGTAGCTTAAATTTGAGAGTGACCGTGGGAGTCTCTTTGGGTTTCAGACTTTAAAACATTTCAACCTGTCAAAGGGAGCCTTTCTTTTAGACAATGTGGTTCCTCTTGTTTCTTTCGTTTTATCCAACATGAGGCGCATTGGGGGGGGGGGAACAAAACATAGTGGATCAAATATGCAATGAGAGGCAGAAGATTAATCAGTAACCGATTCCTTATAACTACCTGGAGGTCCTTCTAAGAATGGAACAGCCATGTTCAGTGGCAGTTTATCTTTGATTACCAGATGCTAAGGACAGTCTGGTATATTTCTCCCTACTTGGGGATTTTTCAATGACCACTGGTTGAAAACCGAAGGTCAAAGTAGACATAGCAGCATCCATGTGTCCGACACGGGGACACTGCCTCCATTTTAAAGCACTTTCAAAATACGGTGATGGCCCGATCCTGATTAGGTTTGCAGCACATCAGGCTGAGGCGCTCTAGTTCCCCTCTCACTCACCTTTCAAGAGCTGAAACAGCTGCGGGAGGATAATATGGCCGGCCGTTTCAGCACTTGAAATGGCATG